TTTCACTTGAAATTTAAAATAAACATATTATCCCATTACATTCTCACATTTGCGGAACTGAAATACTCTGAGCCCAGTCCTACAGTTCCTGTAAATTAATGAAGTCTATAGAACAGCACAACACAAATAAAATTACCTTGAAAAGACAATATTTGTGTAGCTGATCTTGTTTTTCAGTGTAACATCCTAGATGTTACAGTAAAATTCTTTCTCATTCACGAGACCAGAAGCCCCAATATATTGTAAACAGCAATGAAGTGCCTGACTGTTGCACTCTTGTATGAACACACTAAAAGTTCATAACTCAAGGAAGCTGCTTATAACAATGTGAAGTGCTGAGGGATAGAAATTTCAATAAATAAACCAAATTCACACTCTTTTTTTTTAAACATCAGAAGATTCTGTCTCAAAAGTTTCAACAGAGAGCTATAATGATCAATTTCTCATAATTTCAAACCAACTCTGATCCCAAAGGGAAAAGATTGACTCATTGAAAGTCACTTGGCTCTGACATTTTTTATTGCTTCTCAAAAAACTGAACTGGATTACAAGTTGGTTAAAAGTTGTTACCACTGCTGATGTTAATTTAGAGGAAATCAGACCAAGTTCAAAAGAGAACAGGAAAATAAATAAACAAATAAATAAAAGCAAGTGAGCAAGTTCCCACAAGTATTCAGCTGTCCCAGGGGCCTGGGAAATACCCCTTCCTTAAATACACACAAGGCAGGACACGGACATTAGATGGCATAATGATCTGACAATACCTTACCTCAATTCTTTAGAACTGTGATTGCATTTAATAAATTTGCATTACATTTTTCATCAGTCCTAAAATATGGAAATTCCTCAATCAGGAAAAATTTGTGTTGCTGGGTTTTTTTTTTCTCAAAATAGGTGATGTCATTATTCTATTACTCTGATATTCTACAGCTACTTGTACCAGTGCAATGGCGATGTAAAAGTGCTGTTATTCTAATTAGACAGCGTTTTACACTCTGGTTTTTGGGACATAAGAGTATAAAGCGTTTTTTCTTTTTCCATTATCAGGCAGTTGAACAGAAAACGTTACTGACTGACCTTTATATTAATGAGGCTAAATAAAAACACAGATGGCTTCTACTAAGTGAAGGAACTGAAAGTAATGATGTGCTATCTTAAGCCACTGTCCTGCAAAATCAGGGACCAGGATAAACAGAAATCTGATTATTCTAGCTGAGTAAGAAAGCTCAAATATACATATCCTCTCTCTCTCTGAATCCTTGTCTACACTAAAAAATTGACTCATTTTAAAGAATGGTTGTCAAGAATAAGTCCCCTTGAAGTAATACTTGAATTTTTCTTCACAAAACAGTGATTTAACACCATGTCAGAAAATTCTCTTGAGACTTAACTTTTTAGGAAAAATTAGGGTAATGGATTGAGCCCAAGGACCCAGAGATATGAAATGAAATTTTAGGTGTAGGCCTTTTAATAGCCCAAAGAATGAGAAACAAGAG